TTTTCCCATTGTCGTATGCGCAATGGATAATTTCTATTCTAGTCAAGACGGGCTGTGCATTGCCCACAGGGGCCGATTGTTTTCAGTTTCCGGCCACCGACCAGCATTTCCAAGTATTGGACATCCCTGTTGATTATATACGCTAACCTGAAGGGTAGAATGGAATGCGCCGTTCGAGTAGGCGGGTATCTCAATAGTCATATAAATAATTGATGAAGATTCTCAAGAACTCCTCCAATATACTCCAAAAATCTATGGCTCCCCGCTTTCTCTTGATAGTCCGCGCTTTCATTTTCGCAGGGATGATGGCCTATAGTGTTGGTGGAACCTTGATCTCGGGACTACAGGCGTTGAATCTGTCTTCTGGCACACAAATTGAACTCCCATCGAATCATACGGAAAGATGGTCAAGCTACCGCGCACCGAGCTACAGTGCTATTGTCAAACCTTCTACGGATGAGGACGTTGCTGCGATAGTAGGTGTGCTTTTTTTTGAAGAGCTCCGTAACTGAAATGCGTCTGATCTACTGTCTGACAAGTAGATTTCCACAGATCAAGTACGCCACAAATACCAAAACTCCATTTCTTACGACTGGCGGGGGCCATGGTTTCAGCACCACTCTAGAAGGACTGCATGATGGTATCAGCATCGATCTGTCTAACTTCCGAGATGTTAAGCTGGATACCGCCAGAAATACATTGACCATCAGTGGTGCAGTCCGCTTTGAAGATGTCATAGGACCGCTGGGCGATGGCAAGAAACAACTTCGTATGTCTCGCAATTGATAGTGGAAAAAAAAAGATGTGGTTGCTAAATCTATGAAGCCATCGGATCGGAGAATTGTGTAGGCATGGTGAGTAACCTTGCATGCCACAAAACATATGGATGAATTACTGACGCTCATCAAACATCAAGGTAGGAGCAGCACTTGGAGGGGGCGTTAGTCGATACAACGGTTTGCATGGCATGTTATTGGACACGCTTTTGAGCGTTAAAATGGTTACAGCCTCTGGTGAAATAATCTACGTATCAAATACTACCAACGCAGATCTCTTTTGGGGACTACGTGGCGCTGGCTTCCACTTCGGGACGATTCTGGAGGCAACATTTTCGGTTTTTGACCAATCCCCGGAACAGGTGCTGCTTGCAGATTTTCTCTTTGCACCGAATGCTAGTAGAACCATTCTCGATTATTACAAGACGTTCGACAATGTATTACCGGCAGAGCTGTCCTTTGTCTCGCTCTCACTCAATGCTCCTACACTTGGTGGGGTGAGTAAACCATTTCTTCATCCCGGAACATTGCTCATTCTATTCAGTCGATTATTCTTGTCAATGCCGTGTATACGGGGCCCCGCGAAGAAGGCGAAAGATATCTGCAGCCTCTTTTGCAGGCATCGCCTTTGAGACAGAATCTGACCATGGTTCCCTGGGCATCCGTCAATGCCGCTTCATTCTTCGCGATTGAGGGTCCGGGTTTTCATTGCCCGACCGGAAACGTGCACAATGTCTATGGCAGTGCCGTTCATACTTTCGACGTTCCAACATTTCAGACTTTCTATGAAAGCTACGACGCATTGATCCAATCTCCAGAGCTAGCAGGCACTGTTTACTTTATCGAGATGTTCCCGAAACAGGCCGTTGAGCAAGTTCCTGGTGAAGCTACAGCATATCCATGGCGCAACATCACAACCCACCTGTACGTCACCTCGCGCTCACCAATGATGTATGTTGACAGATAGTCAGGCTGTTTAATTTCGCATACAACGTGACTACGGACCTTGATGAAAGAATCAACGGCTTTGCTAGGCAGGCACGCGACAATTTCACAGCAGTGAGTGGGTTCGACCCACCGCAACTATATGTTTTATACGGCCACGGCGATGAAGATCCTACCACCCTGTATTCTGCTGCAAATTTGCCACGTCTCAGAGACTTGAAGGCCAAGTGGGACCCGTCAAATGCGTATGGATATAATTATCCACTACACGATATCTGAGAAGTAGTCTTGGTCGGAGGGGAGATGAGAGATGGTTGCTTTCAAATGTTAGTCTTCAACAATAGCATCAGAAGCCATATAGTGACCATTGCGTGGCGGATAGATACAATGGTGGCTATAGCTAAATCCAAGTAACACATATATTGTTGTGCATCTGAGCAATGCCTACGAGGTACATACGAGAGTCCACCAATCATTAATCCATGGGAGCATAGTCTTCTGCTTTTAGTATGCTCGATCCGATCTTCTGAAGATCGTTTCCCCACAGTGTTTCTTGGCTGACACCGCTCAAGCCTTGTTCAATCATAGCAGCCGCCAGCTCCGAGACATGCACCCATGGTGTGGATCCGAATTGCGCCCAGATACTCGTCAAAGCTTCGCTCTTGGGATGACCAGGCCCCTCAATTCCACCCGGCTTGGTTATAGCAATCTCTACCGCAGGTGCATGTTTTCCAGCGATATCAATAACCGCATTCTCAACGCGGCCCTGATTATTACAGTCAGAGAATGGGACAATGAGTGAATAGTAAACAACTTACGCGCATAAGGCGATAGTCTTGTAGGAATGGTAGAGTTTTGGTTTGGTCGCGCTCTACGGTCACGCCTGATGTGTAGATAAAGCGGAAAGGCTTTTCGGCCACAGAAGTCATGCTTTGAAGGCCATTGACGGTGTAATCGTGGCAGATCTTGGTCACCTCTTCGAAGTCCACATCCTTGGACTTGGTGGGGGTAACTGCAAGAGTCCTGATAACAGTTGGCGTGACGCGACAAGTGTGGAATGGATTTTGCTCGACTCACCAGACACAAGCATTCACACCTTTCAGTTGCTCCAAGACTTGTTCTGGGTACGGTTGTCCCCAGTCCTCTAGAATGATAGACTTTAACTTCGACGTGTCTGCCTCGGATGCGGTGTGGTTGGGTACTGGAACCTCTTTGCGAGCAAGTGCCACGACTGATGTGATAGACTTGTTCTGTAGAGCCAGTCGAATGACTTCCTGCCCAACAAATCCGGTAGCTCCTGTTACTACGAGCTTCATCTTTGATGATTGTAGGTGGCTTGATTCTGACAGTGGTAAGGTCGGGCTCCAGGTGTTGCGCAGATATAAGTGAATTGTAGAAGTAGATGGTTCTGCGTAGGCTACACTTGAAAACAGTCACACGGAATTCTAGTAGGCTGGAATGGCAAACAAGGCAATAATTTCTCGGGCAAGCGTTCGACCCGCTTCCCGTTTGCAGCCACGCCGCAGCCGTGCTTACTGCCTATGCAATATGTAGGGAAATTGTGAGCCGATCGACAATAACGTAGGGTTACACGGTGACGTCAGGTCCGACCTCAAAAGGCAAGACTACGCAACATAGCAACGGAGCAAGAAGGCAAGAAGAAAACAAGGCAAACAAGCCACGATAAGGATCATGCACAGTTGTATTGGTTTGGTATCAGGACGTTGAGTAGAGCCAGTAAAGTAGGAGTACGAGCAGTAAGACACACAGTGTTAGGATTGGTTTGCAGGGCACTTAGAAGTTGGCAATTAGCAATAGTGAGATCGAGTCAATTCTATTATCCCCAAATGATAGAGACGAATCGCTGAGGAAACTTATTGTTTCTCAGCCAGTGTTATAGGGAGCATTATGTAATCATACTAAGCTAATCTGGGCCACTCAGGCCTCTAGCCAGTATAGGTGGCAGGAATTGCCCTTGTTCTAACATTATCCCCCTTCATGGCTCGATCCACGCCCACGGGGGTCGCTCCATGTTATTCTGGGCCTTTCTGGGCCATAATGACATTACGAAATCTAATTCCAAAGCAAAATTGGCTGTGAAAGTTAAATTCCTTGGGATTCGAGGGATTTCTGGCTGCAAATGCTGATTTTCATGATTTTCGAAGAATTGCAGGTGCCAGCAATTGGTTTAGCCAAAGAGGCGCCAAAGTGGGGCCGCCTCATGCGCACGGGCCGCTTTGCCAAGCCCCGTCGATATATCCCCGATTTTCGAACCTAAACTTCTATTCCCCCAGCAGCAATTGGATTAGGTAAGTCGCCCCCTGTCCCATCGATTTCCAGCTTTTTCGAAAATATAGTAAGTTGTTGACCCTATTCTGGCCCATTTTGGCCCATTTTGGCTCTAACTAGACCAAGATTGTACATTTCGGCGCCTACTACCTCCTATTCGCTCATCATGGATCTCGATGCGGTCTCGAACGACTTCATGCGCCATGGCAGGTGTTCTCCACATCCATGCGCCCGTTGCGTTGGATACTGGGCAGGTGGGAACTATAGGTTCCTCATGAAGTGTGGATGCGTCTTCCCCAACCCTGAAGAAGACCAAGTCTACCTTTACGACGCTTGGAGCGAGGAGATGGATGATGGCAAGCGTAGATACTTCCGTCGATGCCTTCGTTGCTGCTTCAAGGGTCAATCGTGCCATGTGGTATGTTTTCGGGCCCCTTTTGGACTGTTTGGGCCAATCTGGGCCATTCTGACCCATTTTAGATCCCAGAGAGCTTCGATAGCGAGGTTGAGCGCGTTTGTCGGCTGCTCCCCATCGTTTCCGGCGAGAAGACGGCCAAAAGGGTCACCAACCCTGATTACGACCCCAAGGACCCCGCCTCGCTCAAGGTGATTGAGAAGGATATCACTATGGACGAAAGAATCCGTATGGACGCGGAGATGCGCAACATCTGTCAGAAGATCACCAGGAAGCTCAATTCGTGAGTGTTTGTGGTATTCTGAGCCTTTTTGGTCCATATTAACCCTCTGCAGCGATTATTCCCCTCATGCCGACCATTTGGCCCTTCACAACGGTACTTTCGACGTCGATGCGTCTCCCCAGTCTGACTTGCGCGCAAAAAAGCGCGAGAGAGGCAAGAAGGATGTGCTTGCTCGTCAAGAGGCCGGTCGGCGCATGCTCGACTCCACTGTGGACGATTTGGTGAAGCAGGCCTCTCCTGCAGCCGGTCCGGCCAAGAGAAAGGTATATTGACCCAATTTGGCCAATTTAACCCCTAGCTAACGTCTTGTCTTCTATAGAGAACTGGTGGGCGCTTTGTGGGTGATTCTGGCAGCGTTGCTTCCCGCATTAGGGATCTCAAGGCTCAGCATGCGGTCTTGGTGGCCCTCCGCGCAGATACTCCTCGCAATGCTCGTAAGGACATTACCGCGCGCATCAAGGCGGTGGAGAAGGAGATCAAGGCTGCTGAGAAGGAGTTGTAGCCTTCTGTGGGTTCGTTCTGAACCGTCTGGGCTGAAAAGCCCCTCTTTGGCCCATAGTGGCCTGGATTACCCTGGCGTTAGGTTTCGTGGTTTCGTCCGGTTCTTTTCTACAGATACCCCCTTCAATTGATCTGGTTTGGCTTGTGAGCAAGCCCGGCGGCCACTTTTGGCCAAAATCCGAGTCTTTTGATGCTTTCCTCGTGATATTTGGTAATCTTGGGTTGCCCAGTGCTATTTCGAATAGGCATAGGGCTTTATAGGGTATTCTGGGTCACAATAGCCCTAAATAGCCCATTATTTTTTTGGCATTTTATAGCAAATCCGCCTTATTATTACTTGCAATCGAACGTTTCCTAAGGCCTCTTCACAACGCCATTAAACACCTTAGAAAAACCTTAACTAGTTATTTTGAGTTTTAACCTTATAATTTCGGAAAATTACTCATAACTTAAGGAAAAATATAGGTGAAGGTAGTTGGTTTTGGCTTATTTTTCCCTCTTCTTAGGGCTAGCCTCTTAGCCTACGCTTGTTTGATTGTTTTTGCCTTTTCTTTTGGATATTCTGTTTCTTCCAGAACTCTTTAAGGGTATTTGCGCTGATATTCGGGCCTGGCTCCCAGGAATTCTCATCTGCAGGATAGCCTAGCCACTTAACCAAGTATTCCCATGTTCCAACCGAAGATTGCCTCCTCTGCAGCACTTCTTCAACCTCGTACACATCGTCGCCAAAAGAGCGCAATGTATCCACAGGTTGATCACTCTGCGATGGAATTGAGCTCTTTTGGGTGTAAGGCTCTAATAGGGATACGTGGAAGACTGGGTGTGTCCCTTGTAGCTCCGGGAAGTCTACTTTGTATGCATTTGGGCCATAACGGGCCATAATGACCCCAGGTCCCACATACTTCCAGTCTAACTTCTTCTTTGGTCGGGTTGAGCGCATGTGGCGGTTTGATATCAAGACTTTATCGCCAATCTTTAGAGAAATATGCTTTCTTTTCTTGTTTGCGTACTTCTCTTGATACTTGTTCGATGCCTCTATCTTCCTCTTACATTCTGCCTGTAGCGAGAGGACTTTAGCCGCAAGACCCATCCCTAAGGGTGATTCGCCGTCTCCCAGGGGCATTCCGGGCCATTCTGGGGCTCTTGGTGCCGCTCCGTGGTAAGCTACGAAGGGTGTGACCCCTGTGGTGGAATGTACGCTGTCGTTATACGCAAACTCTGCTGTTGGCAGCCACCTCGCCCAGTCGTCCTGTTCCAGGCAACAATAACAACGGAGATATTGCTCCAGTGTTTGGTTTTGCCTCTCTGTTTGGCCGTCTGTTTGAGGGTGGTAAGCGGAGGATAACACCCTCATTGTATTTAGATAGTGGCAGAAGCTATCCCAGAACTTTGAATTCATTATTGGGCCGCGGTCTGATATAATATTACGCGGGGTACCGCGTAGGCGGATAACTTCCCGCAGCCAAGCCTCTGCTAGGTTTTCTGCACTCCAGTCCGCGCGAGATGGGATATAATGAGCCATCTTTGTCAATCGGTCCACAACAACGAGTATTGAGTCGTACGTTTGGCCTAAGACCTTTGATGGGGGGAGCTCTGTGATAAAATCCATGGTCACATCGCTCCATGGGCCAGTCGGCACTTGGAGGGGTTGCAACAGTCCGTACGGCTTGTGTCTAGCTGCTACTGACCTACGACACTTCAAGCAGTCGTTACAATACTCCTCCACGTCCTTTCTTAGCCCGTCCCACGTGTACTTGCGTTTTATCTTCTCCAACGTCCTCTTAACCCCAAAATGTCCAGCCATTGGGCTATCGTGGCATTCCCAGAAGGCCTTCTCCTTTTCTTGGGTGGTCGTTAGCCGAATCAACGCAGCTTGGGCTGCCGGGGGTTGTTCCGGGCCATCTTGGGCCATAACGTCCTCCCCTTGTGAGGTTGCTTCCGGCTCTTCTTCACTAGGGCTCTCGCTTCCTCCACCATCGGATTCTTCCTCATCGGGTTGAAGCCCGGGAGGTTCCTCGTCTGGTTCCTCGCCAATTTGTTGTTGGATGGGCCGCTTTGTACCCCTCTTCTTTACTTGGGGGAGCCCCGTGTCGTCGACAGTTAGGTTGGATGACCTCGTCATAACTGCCATTATGGCAGGCTGGCGTGGGTCAGTACGGGTTAATATAGCCCGTAATGGCTCTATGTAGGCCTCGTTTCCCTTCTGCGACGGGTGTTGGGCTTCCGCCATGTAATCTGGCCTCCTTGACGGGCCATCCGCAGGGTTTGTCTTGCCTGGCCTATGGATCATAACAAAGTTGTATTCCGAGAGGCGTTCGTAGGCTCGAACTTGCCTATAATTCAATGTCTTTGTCTCCATGAACCATTTCAAGTTGGCGTGGTCTGTGTAGAGATCGAACGGCAGGCCTTGCAGGTAATGGCGCCAGTGTGACAGACTCTTGTCAATTGCGAGTAGTTCCTTGTCATGTGTGTCGTAATTGTACTCAGCTTTGTCCATCTTGCGCGAGAAGAAGCTTATTGGCCTCCATAAGTCTTTTCCGCGGTCGTCGGGGGCTTTCTGGCTCAGAATGCCACAGATTGCCCCTCCTGAGGCGTCTACCTCGACCTTCGTAGGCCTATCTGGCTCATAATGGGCCAGAATAGGTACGGAAAGAAATGCGTTCTTGAGTAGTTCGAAAGCGCTCTTTGCTTCCTTTCCTATCTCAATCCTTTGGCTTTCCTCCCTCCTTTGTGCGTGTCCGCCCCGGGCCGCGTCTGGCCCCTTTTGGGTTAGTTGGGTGAGCGGTAAGGCAAGCCGAGAGAAGTTTGCAATAAATCGCCGGTAGTAATTCATAAATCCAATGAATACTCTAATATCCCTCACGGTCTGCGGGAGTGGCCAATTCTGGACCGTTATAACCCGTTCTGGGTCGACTTTGACTCCTTCTGGGCAGACTATGTACCCAAGGTACTCTGTCTGCTGCGTGTGGAACTCGCATTTGCTAAGCTTTAGATAAAGTTTAGACTCTCTCAGTCTCTGGAGTACTTCCTTGACGTGGGCTATATGGGCCCGTTTTGTGTCAGAATACACCAGAATATCGTCAAGATACACGATACAGGTCACGTCGACCTGTCAGATTCACGATGTTTTCATGGGTGAACTGAGTTGCGATAGAACTTGATGATTATTGTCTTGTGTGTTTCGTCTGATCTAAGACGCAATGGAGCTATTTAATATTTAAGGGCGTCACGTGCCAGGTACCCGCTTGATTATTCGGACCTCACCTGCAGCACTTGCTTTTATCTGACACACCCCTTCAGCTTGTACGATTGGCAAGCTGGTTCTCCATTAAAGCTCATTGTGCTAGCGTGAGGTTGTCTAGGTGTTGCTGAATTTCCTCAAGAGGTGCTTCATTTGCTACCTCCCTTGTTCTAACGTGAACGAGACCGAGCTGGTGGAGAAAACCTTTCCACTTG